TGCTCAGAATTTTCTTTGAGTTTTAATAGTTTGAGGTTCTGGAAAATTAAATGGCCTCAAAAAGAGGATCAAAATCTGTTGGGGGGACAAGGAAGGTTGATTCTGGTGCCTTTCTCCAACAATTTAATGGTGCGTTTGCACCAAACGCGTTTTTAGCATTAGGGTATCTGGTGCAAATCTAAAGTAAATAAAGAAGCGTTGAGGGTCTTTGGGTCATCAAGTACGGTCAGCGCAGCATTTCCAGAGTCCAGACCTAAATTTTCAGTGGCCGGATGCTTGACTTGGGAAATGTATACTTTTCCAACTGGATGCTGAGAATCAACCAATCAGAGAAGCTGATCCAGGTGCTGTCTATAAGACTGATGCATCATTAAGGGGTGAGCTCTGCTTCTTATCAATTCCAAACCCTAGCTGTGACCCACACAAGATATTAATAACATTTAAATAAGACAGTTAAATAATAAATACTTAATCCTTATAGCTCGTTGCTATAATATTTAAATTTGCACTTATAGCGACGGTGAGATTAAACTGCCTATAGCATTAAATGTGGAATATCAAGAAACATATTTCACAACTTGGAAAACAATAGTTTCTTTGACTTCTTCGGTTTATTGGAGTAATTATTTCTCAGAAACTGTATTTTACAGTTGATCTTTTGTGAACAGCAAAAAACAATTAATTTATGCAAAATATGCCCAAAAAAAAAACGTTTCTCCCCCCAAAACAGATAAGAAACCTTACCCAGAACTTTAGCAGGTACATAAACCCCAACAGAGCTCACTACAACATTATTTGAAGAAATAACACGCTTTTTTATTTTATATCAACTTGATGCTTCCAGATATGCAGAATTAGAACAACTAAATTGTCAACGAACAAATAAAGAACATTAAATGAAGGCAAATTGAAACGCTTCTTAATGTCTGCTAGCTTGCTAGCTAAGCGAACAAAGGTTGCTAACATGCTAGCTCCCTCCTCAGTCGCATTTAATGCAATTTTATTCCTTTAACAGTGCTGTAAATGTACTTTATATGTAAATCTGATATTTGCCTCACATAATCATACTCTGAACAACACTTATGTTGCAGGGCATTGTTACTAAACAGTTGCACCGTTAGCACCGTGAAGTGGCTAACCTGGCCATATTTCTATCCCAGCGTCTCGGAGCCTCCGTCTCAGATGATCGTTCTCCCTCTCCCTGATCGCTATCTCTTCCTGGTACTCCAGAATAGTGTCCTCGACAGATTTGTAAATCTCCTGTGCAGCAAGCATGAGGCGCTCAGTCAGAAAGACGTTTAAAAACTGTAGTTTGGTCATTTTGTTGGGTTGAACAGAGACCCTAGGATCAAGGAAAAGGATGCTTTTCCCTGTCACGTGACATGGATCCGTTTCTTCTTCGTCTTTCCTCCGAATCTTCGCTTCTTTTCCCCTCTTCTTCTTCTTATTCTGAAAAATAAAACTGGATTTAATCATAAGTAAATTTTAAAAATATGTGTAAGCTATGTTTTTTCCCCCTAAGTTTTGGAATAATGAGAAGTTTTACTTCGACTACAATATTATTTATCCAGAAAGATGAACTGTAGATCTCATAATGTGTTAAGTAGCACAATCCTCAATAAAAAATGAATTAAGTCAATAAAAATAATAAGTCAATGAAATAAACAAATAAAGAAAAATAAGCAAAACAATAATGGTAAATTGCCATAACATTTAAAAGAGTAAACAGAAATAACTAATAGATGCAACCTTACTCGACACAAAGACTTTAAATACTAATTGTAGTTTTTGCTGCTTTAAATTTAAATGTTATTCTCCTTCGTTGCTTTGTGTCGCCTTTAAACATCTTTTTCACCTACCTTTTTTTTTTATCTCACTGATTTAGTATTATTTATTATGATCATTTTGTAACATAATGTCTTCGCTTTGGCAATTTTTCAAACTGAATGCTGTTGTGAATAAAATATATTATACATGTGCTGGTCATAAAATTAGAATATCATGAAAAAGTAGATTGATTTCAGTAATTCCATTTAAAAAGTGAAACTTGTATATTATATTCATACATTACATACAAACTCATATATTTCAGATGTTTATTTTGTTTAATTTTGATGATTACAAATGACAACAAATGAAAATCTCAAATTCATCATATCAGAAAATTCGAATATTACTGTAGACCAATAAAAACAAAGGATTTATAGAAATGTTGGCCAACTGAAAAGTATGAACATGAAAAGTATGAGCATGTACAGCACTCAGTATTTAGTTGGGCCTCCTTTGGCCTGTATTACTGCAGCAATGCGGCGTGGCATGGAGTCGATCAGTCTGTGGCACTGCTCAGGTGTTATGATAGCCCAGGTTGCTCTAATAGTGGCTTTTAGCTCTTCTGAATTGTTGGGTCTGGTGTATTGCATCTTCTTCTTCACAATACCCCATAGATTTTCTATGGGGTTAAGGTCAGGAGAGTTTGCTGGCCAATTAAGAACAGGGATACCATGGTCCTTCAACCAGGTACTGGTAGCTTTGGCACTGTGTGCAGGTGCCAAGTCCTGTTGGAAAATGAAATCTGCATCTCCAAAAAGTTGGTCAGCTGCAGGAAGCATGAAGTGCTCTAAAACTTCCTGGTATGTGGCTGCGTTGACCCTGGACCTCAGAAAACACAATGGACCAACACCAGCAGATGACATGGCACCCCAAACCATCACTGACTGTGGAAACTTTACACTGGACTTCAAGCAACGTGGATGAAGTGCCTCTCTTCTTTTCCTCCAGACTCTGGGACCTTGATTTCCAAAGGAAATGCAAAATTTACTTTCATCAGAGAACATGACTTTGGACCACTCACCAGCAGTCCAGTCCTGTTTCTCTTTAGACCAGGCAAGACGCTTCTGACGCTGTCTGTGGTTCAAGAGTGGCTTGACACAAGGAATGCGACAGCAGAAACCCATGTCTTTCATACGTCTGTGTGTGGTGGTTCTTGAAGCACTCACTCCAGCTGCAGTCCACTCTTTGTGAATCTCCCCCACATTTTTGAATGGGTTTTGTTTCACAATCCTCTCCAGGGTGCGGTTATCTCTCTTGCTTGTACACTTTTTTCGACCACATCTTTTCCTTCCCTTCGCCTCTCTATTAATGTGCTTGGACACTGAGCTCTGTGAACAGCCAGCCTCTTTAGCGATGACCTTTTGTGTCTTGCCCTCCTTGTGCAAGGTGTCGATGGTCGTCTTTTGGACAACTGTCAAGTCAGCAGTCTTCCCCATGATTGTGTAGCCTATAGAACTAGACTGAAAGACCATTTAAAGGCGTTTGCAGGTGGTTTGAGTTAATTAGCTGATTAGAGTGTGGCACCAGGGGCCATCAATTTTGAACCTTTTCACAATATTCTAATTTTCTGATATGATGAATTTGAGATTTTCATTTGTTGTCATTTGTAATCATCAAAATTAAACAAAATAAACATCTGAAATATATGAGTTTGTATGTAATTTATGAATATAATATACAAGTTTCACTTTTTAAATGGAATTACTGAAATCAATCTACTTTTTCATGATATTCTAATTTTATGACCAGCACCTGTAATGCAAAAGTAGGCATAAAAAATGGCAAATAAATTATATAGATGTTTTTTTTTCTAATTTATTTTTTTGTCATACACATTTACTTTAAATATGCAGTGGGGAAATCCATGTATTTTCAGAAGCAAAGATAACATTTCCTGCAGAGAAACATAAATTATTGTTTTCGCAAGTTTTATGTTGAAAAAGAAAACATATTTGAAAATATAAGTATATTTCTAACCAATTCAATTGAGTTTATTTCTATAGCACCAATTCACAACACATCATCTCAATGCACTTTACTGTTCACCAGATTGCATAAACTCATTGACTGGAAGGCAATCTCTCACACCAAGCATGCTTGTAGCAACAGTGGAGAGGAAAAACTCTCTTTTAACAGGAAGACACCTCCAGCAGTGTCTTCAGTGTGAGCGACCACAGTTTAGTCAGCATTTTATTGAACTGCTTAATTTTACCCATAAAGATATAAGAACTGACACAAAACATTACCTTTTTTCTTTGCTTAATTGCATAAATTTTAAATATTTAATCAAGTGTTTTTAATAAATCAACACATGAGTAGCTTTACTCTGTTTAAAAAGACTTTTGCTTAAAACTACTTAACGAAGTAATGTCATAAACAGCCTTCTTACATTTCTTTCAGCAAAAACCTGTAATGGTACAGTAGTTCCCACCCCTGCATGTAACCCAAAGGTCCAAAACCATTTTTTCCTAAATATTTGTTTTTATGTCATAACTAATTTGAACAAATCTATTATTAAAAATGAAACTTTTTATTTGTATTTCATGCCACAATTATTCTCTTTTAACAAGGAAAAATCTAACAAAGCTCAGCTTAAATTGTTTTGTTTTTTAAAAGATACCCCCTTTCTTACAAATATTTACGGTAGGGGATTAGGGCCACTGAAAAATTTTTAAAAGTTAACAAATTTTTACAATTTTTTTTTTCAGTTTAATATGGGGAAAAAGTCAGAATTTTGAGAAAAAAGTCAGAATTCTAAGATTAAAGTCAGAATTCTGAGCTAAAAGTCAGAATTCTGAGATTGAAGTCAGAATTCTGAGATAAAAGTTAGAATTCTGAGATTAAAGTCAGAATGCTGAGAAAAAAGTCAGATTTCCGAGATTAAAGTCAGAATTTTGACTTTTTTCCCCATATTAAACTGAAGTAAAAATTTTAAAAAAGTTGGGGTTTTTTGTTTTCTTTTCCAGTGGCCCTAATCCTCTTCCGTAAATATCAACAGAGAAGAAATTAATTAAAAATTCAAAGGAATAACTCAGAGTTTTTTACTCATCTTGGCCACCAGATGGCGCCAGAGATGTTTTATAGTTTTATTAGTTAAAAGTTTGTACTTTTCCGAGGATTTGTTCAAATATATGACACAATGTCCAAATATTGGGAAGGAGACACTAGTTTTTAATTTCCCTGTAAATCGGAGAACATTTTACAGAAATCTTTGAACAATGAATCCTTGCTGCTGCTTGTCTTTCTGCCTTCCAGAGGTAGTTTCTTCCAGAGGATGCTGGTGTGCTTAAGCTCCAGCTCTGCTTGGACAAGTTTACACTACAGCGGTCTTCTCCACTTCTTTATCCTGCAAAATACTTTTTCTTTTTCTTTTTTTAAGAAGAAAAAAAGGGAAATATTTGCCGGGTGAAGAAAGTGCATCACTGCACGCATATGTCAAATAACTTTGTTTGTTTTTTTTCCCCTTGTGTTGTTTCCATCCCGGGTCTTGTGCGCCTTGGTGCGCCCAGCGGAGCAGCAGATGAGTCCTCTCCGTGGCACCATGTGGATTATTCTGGGGCTTGTTCTGGCAGCTGGCAGCGTTGGTGGCAGCTGGGGATGTCAGTTACCCCACGACTGGAGACCGCAGACGGAAGCGTGCCGTGCGGAGCTGGCGGAGATCATCGTCTTCGCAAAGGTCCTGGCTCTGCACAAAGAGTCTTACAGCGTCTATAACTACCTGCCCTGGCAGCACGACACCGACCTGCTCTTCTCCGCAGAGATCGAGCTGCAGTGCGATCAGTCCTGGGGCTCCATGCTGGAGGTCCCTGCAGGATCCAGGCTCAACATCAGCGGTCTGGGATACTTACCCTGCTTCACCTACAGCGTCACCGAAAACAACAATTACTACTTCTTTCTAAGGTGAACAGCGTCCACATCATTTATTTATGGGACTCACTGAGTCATTATTGAAAATTCCCAATGCATGCAGCTGGGTTAAAGTTTTAGGAGTTATATACATCATCGTAATATATTTAAAAAAGCTCTCTGCACTTTTTTTCTCTGCAGTTTTTCCCCCTCATTTCCACTTTCTTTATAATGAATACTATATACTTTTAAAGACTACATCATTTGTTATGTTTTGAGTCGTTTACCTCCAAGTTGGAGGTAAACATAAGGCCAGCTTTAACCTCTGCACAGCAAGTGTTGGAGGCTCCAACACTTGCTGTGCAGAGGTTAAAGCTGGCCTTATATGACATGCATGACCTGGTTGTAACCCTTACAGATGTGGCTTGGGGTTGAAAATTCAGCAATTAACCTAGCCTGACACTAACTCCTTGTTTACTTTTATTGAGTTTGGAGTTACTTTGACTCTAAAATTGTTAAGAACTTATATTGCATGTGAAAAGACACATCTGATCAATAAAACAACGCTGGACTTTGTTTACAAAAACAAAGTGAAAACAGAGTCCGGTTGTGGGGTTTTTTTTTTGCGTTTTTGGAAAATTTTATGTATTTTATTGGTACTTTAGGTGATACTGGAGCATGATATATGAGCATATAAATATAAGGAATTTAATGCTTTTTATAGACCTTTTAACAAAGAAAAGAAAACTTTTCCTAAACATGTGTTGTGTACATTTGTTTAAAGACCCCTTTACTCTGATATCCATGAATTAAATTCTGGACAGCCATTTGAACCTTGGAAACCAGTACACATCCTTATAATTAAATCTTATTTGAAATACTGCTGCTCTAAATAAAGTCTCTGGGGTTTCATTATGATGCATAAAAAAATACCAAAAAAAAGGTCACTTTATGTGCGTTCGCTTGCCTGAGTATTGGAGTGCAGGCACTGTTTCGATACCATATAATTTAAAATAGTAATCCATTTTCTTGTTAGTTCTGTTAGTTCTGACACAGTTCTTCTTTGCCGCTCTTAAAACAGTTGCTCTGTGCTGCCACCTGCTATTTTAGATGAGTGAAGAGCTGATTACCTGACACCTGTTGGAGAGCTTGCTACTTCTACTACTAGTGCTGTTTTTATAATGTTTCATAAAAATAAAAAAAATGGCTTAAATGATCTTTATTCATTCATGTTTCCATTCCATGGTTTGACCTCAACCAGGCCTACAGTTACAGTCATATCACATTCATGCAGGCCTCATATGATTATGATATTTTTTTGTAACATACTGGTATCGTTACTCTGTATCGGCCGATACTCACAGCACAAGCATCAGAATCGCATCAGGGGAAATTTGCAAAATTCCTGTTCAGTGTGGAGCAACTTTAGAGAACATGGACTAACAACAAAACAGAGACCTCAAGACGGAGCAGACGGGCCAGAGAGAGACCGTTTAAAGCTGACCTAGGTCCTAAAATAATAAGCAGCATCTAAAGGGCATTCCTTGAGTCAACAAGTTGAAATAAAAAAAGAATGTGGTACAGTTGCATCTGTGCCAAAACAAGGCCATCCATCTTATCTTATGGCTTGTGCAAGAGCATTGATCAAAGATTCAGCTGAAAGGTCCATGAGCTCTAGATCACTGCAGCATCTTCAGAATCCATCTAATAGTACTAGTAGAGAAAAAGCAACTTTGCACATCAATCTGAATGGATCATGGCAACTGTAACAGATCACAGTCGCACATCAAGCTGTCGGGTTGCTCGTCAAGCCAGCTAGTCCGAGCTGATGGAAAGCTGGATGCAGCTAAGTAATGGGTGAAGAAACCCTGCTATTGGCAGCCAAAGATGGAGGTTTAGCTTCCAGCTGGAACAAAACCCTGATTTTAGTTCCAAGTCTATTCATTTGACAGAAAGGTTCAGTCTAAATCCTAAATCCAAGTAAGAATCGCTGGCAAAACTCATCCTAGCTCTTAACCCAATGACTAACATTTGGGTGTATGCCATTGAATATTTTCAGCAAAGGTACGCCACAGAGCTTCAGTTGCTACTATAAATACAGACAGGGTAGCTCCGCATAGTATTAATTCGAATACATTTTTTGAAATAAATGCATTATATACTTGTAGGATTTAATCTATCAAATTACTAGAAAACCATTTCGTCCTTTTCCTTTAATTTTGCATTTATGCTCCAGTTTGTCATGGTCTATAATATACTGTAAGCTTCAGGGAGGCATACAGTATAACATTGCATGCCTTATATCATTTTAATATGCAGTAATTAATATGATTCATCATATTTTAAAATTTTAGGTCTGCATATTTTACACCAGGTTCTGATTATTAAATTATATTTGTTGGTGACATTTGACCTCGGATTAACCTTTTGAAATCAATTGAGGATTAGGTTGAAGACATTAGATACAGCTTTAAATGCTGCTTTTAGATTTTCTAAGGTGTGGCTGCACTTTAAACCCCCAGCAGATTCATTTTATGCAGTGTTTTTATGCTGCTTAATAATAGTAACTTACAGAAGACCTGTTATCCATTCTCTGGGTGAGTTTTTCTCTCTCCCTCAAACATGTTCTAGAACAGAAATAGCTTCTCCAATCAGTCAGAGTCTAACCCTGAAGAGACCATCTCCCTCTGGAACCATAAATACAGACTGACTGTGCTGCTAAAGTCATACGTTTGCTTTAAAAATTGTTCTATTTACTGTCTGTTAATAAATACTCAAAATTACGAAGTTTTATCAGCTCTACCTGATGTTCTTTTATTTCATTATTTTCTTCAGGCTTCCTAGGGTTCTTTTAAGTAACCCTGAATCAACAAGTCCATATAGTTTTTGGTTCTCTTGATAACGTCTAACCTTTGACATCTTCTGCTGAAGTAAAACATGAACTTCCCCTTTCCATTTGAACGTACCGACAGCGCAGCCTCTGATATGGACAGCCAGACCAAAGATGCTCCCTGAGGGCCGTGAAATGAAATCCAGATGAAGACCACTTCCTGAAGATATGAAGCTTTCTCCATAAATCCCTTTCACCTTGTAATTCACTCGTTTCAGTCATCAACACTTTTTTTCAATGACACAAGATTACATTTTAGTAACAAAACTACTTAGTAATGTAAAAACATTTCTTTAAGCATGGGAAGGTATATCTATAAAAGATAAAAATTAAGAATAGGATGATGATTTTCAAGCATTTTAAGTGACTCTTGTTGAATGTTGGTCATTGTTTTCTGCATGTGTGTTTGCATGAGTTTAAAGTTGGACATGCATGCAAGTTATTCTTGTTAAATAAGAGAATTTGTGTGGTTTTTTGATGTCATTTAGGATGGATGAAAACTACAACATTCTTCCACATGGAGTTAATTTCCAGGATCCCATCTTCCCCGACACTCCAGAGAACCACCGCCTGTTTGCTAGTCTTTTCCAGTTTTCCAACTGCACACCTGGAACTCAAGTCCACAGCTTCAGCCCGGAGTGGGAAGCTCAAGAGGACAGCCGGGTATGTAGGCATCAAATAATATTTACCTAAGCCGCATTTCTACCAAACAGGGTTCCCATGGGTCCTTTAAATCTTTGAGAGTTTATGCATTTTAAAAAATAAGTTTGAGGCTTTGAAAGTTTTTTTTAAAAACAGACATTAAAAAAACACCTATCCTTAATAGTCCTTGTTTATTTATTTCTGTTTGTCCACATGTCATTACTTTTATTTATCAAGCCCTAATTCTAGTTCTAGTTTTTCCTGTATATAGCTTATGTGTGCATAACACATAGGGTCTCCCAAGGAGAACATGATCTTGGTGACCAATCAGAGAAAGTGGTTTAAAAGTCTTCATAATGGCAATGAAATTGAAACTAGCGACCTCACCCTCGAGCCTGGCAGGGATTCCATCATTCTAGTGGGGGACCTCGACTCCAGTGAAACCTGGAGGGCAGCCAAGACCTATAGTATGTGCTGGAGCAGTTCACAGCTGAGTGCAAGACGACCGGGAAGACGATCAGCTCATCCAAGCCATTGTTCATGGTTCAAACTGGAAAAGGGTTGCATGGCCTCTTCAGGTTTGAGGGGATTTCCTGTCTCAAGTAGAGGAGTTCACCAATCCTGGCCTTGATCCAAATACCTTTATGTGTACGTCCTACCTCGTGTTTCTAGCTCCTGTTTCTGCACCTTTCACTGGGTCAACACTAAGAAGAACCTCCAGCACCGCTTAGCATCCAGACAGCCTTCAAGCTTAGGGATGTCCTTACAAGGCTGACACACCCATGAATAACACTTGGGACAACATCCTTCTGGAAAAGAACTACAAAAAAAAAAGTTACACAAAAGGAGTGAACAATTTAAGATTAGGGCTGCAACTAACGATTACTTTAAAAATCGATGAATCGGCCGATTATTTTTTCGATGAATCGGACAAAAAATATTTTTTATATTAACCTCTTTATTCCAAAATAAACATTTTAGACAGAACAAACAAGCACACAAGTACAGGTTGCTCATTAACTGTACTGGTGCAATATGAAAAATAAATGTTTGTGTTAAAACTACGCAAACTTACATGAGAAATGTAGCTGTACATCCACAAAATATAGGCTACTTTGTTTCATAAAGCGCAAAAAAAGACAGGCATTTTTGTTTTTAAAAGCCCCTAAGGGGTTCAAACAATAGGTCCCCCCATTTCAACAAATTAGTTTTTTTTAGACTAGAAGAGTTCTGCCTTTTAAGACAGGAAAGTATAGCAGTTAAAGCTGCTGCTTGAGAAAATACTGAACCATAGAGATAAAAATAGCCCTGTGATTCAAATTATAAATTGTATTTGGAATAAAAATGAGAGAACTAGGGGTGCTAAAAAACACATCCTCCAAAGACAGATATTTACATGGAAATGTGGCATATAATTAATTGACATATTACTGATCTTGCTGGATTTTATTCTGCTTTACTTCCATAAATTGCAGGATCTTCTTTTCTTTATCTTTGCCAGAAGATTTCAACTTTAAAAGCCTTATCCTTATAATTTGCAAGTTAATTTATTTATAAAGAAAATATAAACGCTGCTTAAGCTAATTCAAATGAAATTAAAAGTAAAATAAGTAGCCAACCTTATCACTGTCTGTAACCTACTAACACGGTAATGAAAGCATCAGATGAGTTACCTGAGAAACTAACGTTACGTTTCCCCACTTTAAAACCAAACAAACATGGTTACTCATCCTGCTGATCAGCTCTCTTCACTGCCATCGAAGGCTCCAACATGTTTCCTTTTCAGGTGCTGCGTCATAACAGTGGTGCTTCCGCGCCATGTTCATTTGTTTTTACAAAAGTTGCATGTTACGACTTTTTTCACGCAGGCTGTTTTATTTATTGTGATCGATTTGCGCCGTCAATCCCGGCGCATGCGCGCTTCATTTGCAGTCTGGACGCTGAGGGTAAACTCCTCACTAAAATCCTGCGGCTCTGACTGCAGCGCTGAGAGGGAGAGGGAGAAAGGGTTGGGATGGGGGAGGCGCCCCACGGCATGCAAAAGCCGCCAGTGACACCGTAAAGAGTCGCCAGATTTGTCGCTAGTCGCTTTTTTGAAAAACAGTCGCTGGAGGGGTCTGAAAAGTCGCTGAGTTGGCAACACTGCAACTGCGGCGCTGACTCGCTCCGCCATATTTTTTTTCTTCCACGGGATGACGGCGGCGGCGGATGACGCATTAATCGCGCGACACAACTAATCGATGATTAAATTCGTAGCCAACGCTTTTAAAAGTCGATTTTTATCGATTTTATCGCTTCGTTGTTGCAGCCCTATTTAAGATATTCCTTATCAAATCTAAAACATGAAGCTGTGTACATTTGCATGTGTTACACAAAGTATGTGTCACGAAATAATGTATATATTTGTTCAACTGTGTAAGAGGGACTCTGCCAAGCAAAGGATTGTGGGCAACCATAGATCTCTTAGCTATGAGAGATGTACGGGGGTCCCGAAGCTCCAGGAAGCGTACTGCTTAGTGATCCTATAGCTCCTTCCTTACTGTCAGCACAGTTCTGATTACACTTATTATACCAACCATCAAAGCACGTCCTCCATAGAGGTTTAAGGTATTTGGATAAAGACTTCGAGTCATCTTCATGAATCAAACAAATGTAGAATGTTGCATGAGATCAACAGACAAATTGGTGAAGCTGCTTCAGCAATATGGATGCTGCACCCATCTGCTGTGGTAAAGAGAGCTAAACTAACAGGCAAAGCTCTCAATTTACCAATCAGTAGCCGTTCTTAATTTCACCTGCGGCCATGAAATCTCAGTCATGGCTGAAAGAACATGATCCTGTATAATAACTGCTGAAATAAGCATTTCCTCACAGGGTGGATGAGGGTGTAGAGCTGGTCCACTGTTCCCCGGACATAAAACGCACTATCAGTTGGACTCTCATCTCCAGCACCCTGGCAACAGCCTCCCAACAGAGTAGGGCAGATTATACTTCTGCAAACGCACACATCAAATGTCGTTTGGGTCTGGTTGTGAACCAGTTTTGCTGGTCTGCTTCTGCTTCTCTGGAATTTCCAGGGACACACAGCAGTTTCCCACCAAAGTGCAAGGAGGAGCCTATTCAAGAACCCGCGAGAACTTCAGCGGGTTCGGCGGCGCCGGCGGGAGTGTTTATCTTCCAAAACAACAATGGCGCGTCTGAAAGATATCACAGTCACAGAGATGGATCTAGAGTTGCTAGACATCAAAAAGGATATATTTATTTATATACTTTGTCTGAGGCATCGTACATGTGGTTGTATTTCTGGACCTTCTCGATTAACCTTTTTTCGTAGTTGTCCATTGTAGTTGTTCCTCGGTTTTTTAAAATGCCGCTCGCCGGCACCGAATCGAGAGGATGACCATACAGACAGCCAGAAAGGCATACCAAGGACCAATCACAGCTGCTTTTTGTCTGCGGACTTCCGCTTGAGGTCTGCGCGGGTTTGCGACCGTCCGATGCGAAGTCAGAATTTTTTTAGGTGCGCGGAGACGGTTGCAGAACCTCTGCGGGGGGGGGGGGGGGGGGGGGGGGGGGCGTGGTCGCGCACAGAGACAGATTGGACGGTCGCAGAGGCTATGCATCAGAAGCATGAATTGGCCTTAAGTGTAATTAATCCCCCTATAGTTGGAACAGACCCTCCTGTCCCCCTTTGTGTGAAGCAACACAACTTTTTGTGTGCCTGATACAGTTTTGTTTGTTTGGAATAAGTTCTCAGTCATAATTTTGTGACATAAAAGTTGTGAAAAAGATAAAGGGGTTACATCTGCATGTTGTGTGTTGTGCTTAAAGATATTTATTTCAAAATAATAACTAACAACATTATGTGTTTTTAGAAGAGTGGATAGCATGCAAACAATGTTTAAATGTAAATACAGTCAGTAGAGACTAATGACTTAGACTTGAGACTTGAGTTTAGAATTGGATTTGTCCTTATGATTTAAGAGTTGACTGAGATTTTCCCTTTTCGGAGTCAATCTGACTTGGACTTAGCACCAACAGCTAATTTACCCCTTGAAGAATTAAGCCTTGATTTGGACTAGTCCCCTGTTCTGACTTGGGTTTTCCCCTTAAAAATTCAGGACTTGATTTTTGCGTTACATCTGTTTACTTTTCCCTCTTCCTCTAAATGTTTGGAACCCAAATTTGCTACTTAATGACATGAAATAAGAAATTATAACCAACCACCTTATTTTTTTTTAAATAGATATTTTAATCTTATAAGAGCCTCTTTATAAGGCAGTTGGTCAAATAATTTTGGTTTAGCTGTAACGATTTCCCAACAGTTTCCAACAGTTTTGCACTTAAAAGACCCAGACATTGGACTTAGTGCAGAGCACAAAAAAAAGGATTAGGTATTACATCCCTTTGTTTTCAAAGAAATGACGGGAAAAAGTTGGCAAGTTCAAATGTTCTTAGAGCATGGGAAACCAGAAGCACATTTCCTGAGGTTTGGTACCACAAAGAGCTCACAATGTCTGAGGAAAAATTGAAAGAGTTCAAAACTCAATAACTGAACTGTTAAGAAAATGAAAGCCAGGGATGGAACATTCAAAAACACTATTAAACATAAAATAGCTTCAAGACTTCTCAAAAAAGATGCATCTCATTAAAGCATGATCCAAACAATGATGCACAGTACATTTTAAAAACAAATTTTAGGATATTTGTTCCTCTTCTGTCTTTGTAAGCTGATGTTATATATATAGATATATATATATATTTTTTATAAACAATTTACTTTTGCACCTACTCACCCCAATAACACCCTGGAAAATCTTATTTTTTTACATGTATCTTTTTTGACATATGGCTGTATATTGTTTGCTGCTCTATTAAATCAAATTTACTCCTATCTTTTTTTTTCCTTGTATATAATTATTTTCTAGCTATTTATACAAAATAAAAATCTGCCATGGTTTTGTATATCCGTTGACTCTTGACTCAGGCTTGTGTTTATACATACAAAAGTACATTTTGGATCACAATATTGTGTGGATAAGTAATCCTCTTTAAAATACATAAACACAATTTGTATCACTTTGTTTTTACTTATCTACCAAGCAACCAATGGCGACAGACCTAGCCCTTAATTAAAGTGGATCACACCAAATCGCAAAATCCCCTCTAGACTACAGTAAAAAACAAACTAAAAATAAAAAATAAGGAAAAAAAATGGTGCTGTCTGGGGATTTAATAACCATAATATGTCAAAAGTAGAATTGTGAACGTATCAGCCTGGGTTTAATTTCTAACAGGTCATCTAAAAATATTATGTTTAGGGTCAAAACAAGTAGTTCTATTCTGACTGGTAAGGTTTCTTTCTAAAACCAAATTCAGACTGAATTCTATTTAACATGTCACTTTTAGTAACTGAGACTAGAGTCACTGTGATTACATATACTTTAATAATGTTTCTAACATTGTTAATAATAATCTATAATCTGGAGTCATTGTTAACATAAACTTTTGGACATATTGGCCTTGGGTGCATCCGGAGGCCGGACACAATATGTAAAAGTTTATATTTATTGTATAAAGCAGTGGAGTTTCATCAAAACATACTTAGCACTAAACCTTCCAAGGACAAACATACGGTCATGTACTGTTTTCATGCTGGTTGTTTTCTTTCCCAAGCAAATAAAAAAAAAGAAACCTTGAACATTTTCACTTCATTGGTTGGTTGTATCTCAAAAAATCTAAACATGCAATATAGAGATATATATACTTTTAGCTTGTTATTCTAATTGTAGTTAATCTGGTAATCCCAAATTATCTGATTTATGGCTAGAGTATAGTCGTAGTTGGCATTGATGAAAATGATACATTCAATTTTCATCTTCAGAGCTCAATGAGATGCAACATTATGAGACACTGATTGGCCATTTGTGTCCAGCTACCTGTGGCATGGTTTACGGGGAGTGGCAGCCCATTGGTTAGGGCATAGAGCTTGGAATCACGAGGTTGTGAGTTCGAATTCCACTCCCTCAGACTGCCACTCTTGCTCTCTGAGCAAGACCCTTAACCCCTGGTTGCTCCCTGTGCGCCCCACGATGGCAGCCCACTGCTCACCAAGGCGATGGGTTAAATGCAGAGGTAAATTTCTCCAATGTGTGATCAATAAAGTTCAATTATTATTATTTTACAGAAGAATGTTGAGATAGACTGCACTTCTTAGATGACTTGGATTATATTTAAGCCAAGATCCTAGGACCTCACTTATGTACATTATGGGTTGTTTAAGCTAGTTTGCAGTAAATTGTTGAAGTCTTTTGTTATACTCATAAAAAATACGTAAGGAAATCCTCATTGATATTTGTATACATTTTCATATTTATTTATCAAAGTATCATTATCAGAGTATCATCAAAGAACTGCATTATGAAGTGAAGGAGATAACCAAGCCTGTTGAGTAGGAACAGTCACATTTACTGTACTTTGAAAGGGAGCTGGGAACCATCATGCTTCCATGCAGGTGATAAAGTCCATCATCTGTTAAACCTGTGCGCTAATACTGTGTTAGGTGATACTTTAAGGCCTTTGCATATGCAGCAAGATGCAGGAAAATCCATCAAGGTTGATTACTTATGGTAGAAACAATAAGAACAAGATTGTTCTGGCTAGGATATTTCAACAGAATTGTGTTGCATTGTCTTATTTGTGCATCAGCGATAAAGTTTATTTGTCTCTCTGCTTTAAAAGAACTGTGCAGAACCCCTCGAGTCCAAAAAAAACTTCTGCATTAACATTGAGTGATATTTCTGACCAGTCACACAATAGTTGTTGAAGATTGTATTAAAAAAACAGTTTATGCACCAAAAACAAGCTTTAGGAATTCTCTTGGGCATGTCCCCCTTCTGCATCTCCTTCCTCCATCCAGGCACGTTAAATACAAATGTATTTCCATGTGTAATTTAGATCTCTTTATTCACTTACAATAAGTTACTTGACTTATTACTCAGTCATAACATCTTATCTAGGGTTAAAGTGATATAACTTTAAATAGTAAGCCCTGAGTTAACCTTCCATGCAATAGCATCTGGCCAAATTATATGCAAGTCTTATTTTCAAATGTTTTCCAGGGTTCAGTTCTTAAATGTTATATCTCCAATGTCCGCCATGATTCCAAGTATAAAGGCTTCTTAAGAGGAAAAGTTTCAGCATATCATGTATAGGAGGCTGTAAAATCAGTGCCTTTTACAGTAAATGTTGCTAAAATCTCGCTGAACTAATACCTGAATACAGCTGTTGCCCTTCCAAGCTAACTTCAGTGGTTCTGACAGCCATAGAGCACAACTCGTCTGTCTCTAACTGAATATTTGCTCATGTAAAAGTCATTTGTAGGTGTAAAATAAATTCAACGTTTTCTGCTTGTCATATTTTTCACTCTTCGTTGTCTAAATATGATTCTTTCCATTTTAAAGCTTCGTACTTTGCCAGAAATTTCCTCCGGGACCAAAGTTAGAGCCCATGGAAAGAGTCGGCGGCTAATATTACAACAAGTAATATACTAACCAATGATGTGGGTCCGCAGCACATTTTTTAAATTTCCTCAAAACCCTCAGCGGTTGTTATCTGATGGCAGGGAATTTACATCGCTTGTCCCAATGGCCCATGTGGAAGCATTAGAGTCTGCTGAGGAAATCCACGCTCTGGCACAGAGAAACACAGCTAGAGGCATATGGACGTAATTTTTCTTTTTGGTTTCAGAAGGGAAAGGTCCAGGTCGTTGGATCGTCTGTTTCAGGTTCACAGGCTTGTTGGGTTTCAGCTCACACCAGTGTCTCAATCAAACAGGGGAACCATTTCATGTTATCCTTTCTCTAGCTCCAGCTTAGATTTAGTCACTTTGCTTATCCGGATCGCTGTGTTGTTATTTAAGTTTTTGTTGGTGTTATTATTGTAACCTTTTCATTTTCAGATTTGAGTTCTTGTCTGTTTACATCCAATCAAATTTCTCACTATTTTTCATTAAAATCTGATCATGCAAATCCATTATTTCGGGTTTAAAATCTTATTTTGAAACTAGTTCTTAATTTGGCTCTTTCTCACTATCTCCACACCTAGCTTCACACAAGAGGCATGAGAAACATGATTGTCTTCACATTGTTCCCCTTCAGTGTTTTTTGTTTCTGTTCCCAAATCCCTTGTTTTAATCAACAGGCATCCAAAATAAACCCTTTTCTTGGCTCCTTCCTATGCAAACAGTGGAATCTGTTGGATGACTTGCGAGCTGTTGATACAGGCTCATGGCCCAAAGGGCCTGTCAGCAGCGTTCCCTCATGTGACTTATACAGGGAAAGGTCCATGTCCAAGGAGCAGATCTGAGTCCCAAAAGGAGCTTCTTCGCAGACCCACACTTTTAGGACTTTTTAGGCTCAAACTGATAGCAGCATGTAGTTTAAAGACCCATGGTAGATTTATTTTTTGTTTATTTAATCTAAACATGTGACAACAACTTGTGACTCAACCCTAAAAACTTTATAAAACTTTTTTGGTCACATTTGTTCATCAATTGTCAATTGGTAAATTGGTAACAAAAACGCATCAGAAATAAAAACTTTACAGAGACTACGATGATTGTGCATGTTTCTTTTTTTGTTTTGTTTTTTTTAAGTAGAGAGGGTGGGTCTTTTCAAAAATTTGTGAAAATCCTCCCCTATACCGTTAACATTAAGAAACCTCCAGCAGAACCAGGCTCAGTGGGAGCTGTCATTTTGCCGATGCTGACTGGGGTTCAAGGAGACAGAAGCAGACATACAGATATAAGCAAAAATACAAAAGGCAAATCTCAACCAGCTCCACATACTGCCTCTTTCAGGAAACACACAGCCAGGCAGACGAGCTTGAGCGAGCTCCCATGTCAGATGAAGTAGAGAGCACATACAGTTAGTCACAGTCAGAGAACTAGGACTACACTGAAAAAAGGCCAAATCCTTTTATAGTTGCCTTTTTTAACTCTGCTTCTGTCTCCTTGAACCCCAGTCGGCCTCGGCAGATGGCCGCTCACACTGAGCCTGGTTCTGCTGGAGGTTTCTTTCTGTTAAAAAGGAGTTTTCCTCTCCACTATCGCTACAAGCATGCTTAGTTTGAGGGATGGCATTTGAGTCAATAAGTTGATGCCATCAACTGGTTTTCCTTAGATAGAAAACTGAATCAATTTGACTGTATGATCTCATGAACTGTAAAGTGCCTTGAGATGACGTGTTGTGAATTGGCGCTATATGAATAAACTGAATTGAATTGAATTTACCATGTGATCGGTCTACAACACACATTATACTGCAGATGACATTGTGCAGGATAAATGTTGTATTCAACTAAAGGGGGAAATAAATATGCACGCTGGGATTTTCTGTGGGAATAAAGAAAAGCCATAAAAAGCATTAAAATCTGTAACTGCTGTATGACAAATGTGAAAAAAAAATGTTAAGGGTAAAGAACCTTTATCAATGTTTATTCAGGATTTGTTTTTGGTTGTTTTGCTGTTCCTGCTCCAATGTTTTTAAATTAATATAGATACAATATTTTGCAATCTGACCAATTTAACTGGGACCAACCTCTGTGATATTAAACTAATGACAAATCTTGAACTCAAGTGTCATTTTTTTTATCTTCATGCACTTCCCAGTCTTTTAGGACCATAAGATGTTTTGCTGTTAGGCTTGAATAAACAAGCTTGTTATTTTTCTGTCTCCTCCCAGCTGTTGTGCTCCACAGTTCAGAAAGCTCTGTTTGAGGAGGAGGAGAGAGTGAGGAATCTCTCTCAGAAAGTACGTACCTTGGAGAAAGCAAACAGTCACCTGAAGGAAAAGGTGAAGAGTTTGAAACGTCTCCTACGACTGGCCCAGCGAGAAACATCAAAGGAGCAACAAATCTGCAGCCTTAAACAACTCCATGAGTCACATATGCCCCAAACTCACCCTGACCAGGAGACTACCCAGGATCAGAAGAACCAAGGCCTTAAAAAGGTCCCTTCAAAGAAGCTAAAAACATAGGCATCCTTTTTTTTTTTCTCGCCACAGCAGAAAGAGCTATTTCATATTTCACATATTCAGCATTAAAGCACACGATGCAGCTTTTAATGACATGTTTGTTCTTTTAGTGCTGGACACGTCTTGCATTTTATCGATATTATGTGCTTGCAGATGAAACACAGAATATATGCTGAAGAGGTAAACTTTGCAACAGTTTAAGATTTAGAAAGTTTAAAAAAGATGAAGCATTTTAACATCTTTTAGATTTTTTAACCATCTATCTTTAAAACCACAATGAAAATGTTACATGCTGACCTGTTAAGCACTTTTATTACAATCAACGTGTGGTTTATTATTACAATATTTTTACAATATTGCACAAATCTATCATTTTCAAGATCGCTAACGGAATGAGCAATGTTACACTGCTAAGTGTTGAGTTAAAAATGTTTTTTTTTTTAAATGCAATACGGTGTGTTAAAACACTTCAAAGTCCCACGAGGCGTAATGCCATAAAGCTGTACAGTCCATTTAAATGAGATACTGATATCTCAAGTTCAATCTTTTTAATTATATATTTTTTTAAAGTTAACCTGTTTCTTTATACAACATATGCATGTGAACAAGTTTTTTTTTTTCATTTCTTTTTTTTTCAGCTTTCGTTTGCCGCAGATAAATTCAAACCACGTTATTTCTCTAAATAATCACTCTTTGAGTGATTTTGTGTTTTCAGTTTACGTCCAATTAAAGAGTCTTTCTGTATTTGGTGCAGAGCATCATTTATCTCCATCCTGGTGATGTACAGGATCGGTTTATTGTGTCAGAGATGAAGGTTCATTCTTGCTTTTCTACTTCTGTAACGTCTGTTTTTAATAATGAATGATGCAGCCTTTTTTAAAATAAATTATCTTTTTTCAAAAACATTTCCTGTTTATTGATGCCTGAACAGCTTTTGTTATAAACTCTTGTGATAAAAACCAAACAGGATTAACTATCAGTAAAGGGTTCCGGCTTGATCCACTGAAGGTAGAGTTTTGAGTGGGGAAGATTTATATTTTTAAGATTACATCCACTTGTCTCGCAGAGGACTCTAGATTCTAGAAGTCAGCAAGGGAAAAAAAAATGTTTTAATGCTAAAATCTAAATCAGATGTGCTTCTTGCGATTTGTTTCCTGAGACTGGTGCACTCAGGGGGCCTACATAATTTAATGTTTAAAAATCTGGAACACTAATATTGTAAGATAAATGTGTCTGGAAATGTGTCTCGCCAAGAAACAGAGTAAGGACAGAGCTGTGAGAGGTGTTATATGTGGCTGAACCTCCAGTCAGAATAGGAATGATCTCATCCCTTGTATGTTTAAAAGAAACAGAGGATACACAGTTTAGACAGAGCATGTTCAGTGAGCTTTACACCTAATAAATTCACAAGTGTCCAAAAAACTGATACGGTATCAAACGTAATGCTTGAGCTGAACTAAACGCTTTCTGAATGCTCTAAATCATTTTGAAATTTCAAACACTTTTCAGGAAACCTAAATCAGGTTTACTTACATGGTTGAGTTGGGAGAAACCTAAAAGGGTGACACGCAGCGCTGAAAAGGGAGGAGAAGAAAAGCAAATAAAAGATGTTTGTGTTTTGCTTTTTTATTAGGTGGCTTTGCAGTTAAACTTTGTATGTTTGGGGAGAACAGTTCAGCACCACTGTCCTCTGTTGGTTTCTTTGTCCTCCTCGTGAAAAGTTTGCATCGGACAACCTAGCCAGCGGCCAAGACCCCATTGGATGTGGGCCAAAGATGATATATGCACACTGCTTTCTCAACACAAACCGCTGCTCAGAGCCAAGCTGCAAAACAGATGTCAAACAATGTGGCTGCTTAGAGGTGGTCCCTTTGAGGAGGCTATTTGAGCTGGCTCTCTGCTGACATGATTTGTTCATTTAGCCTCCTTTCATGTTGTCTAAAGCTGTTACCTCCTCTAGCTGTTCCGGTTTTACCCCATTCTAATCCAGCAGAATCTGATCGGTTAAGATATCCTTCAGTTTTAGATTGACAGCCAGTAACATTAACTCCATCTGCCCTGGTTTCAGATAAAAACTCCAGATGTTTCCGACTGGAAGGCTAATAAATTGACATCACAGCCTGCTATAAAGGTGCACAAGTGTTATTTTGACCTTTGTATTCATGCTAACATGATAGATATAGAACAAATACTGTTTTCACTTTCCCCCATATCTGAAGGCCAGAACACACCGCTTGTGTCTGATTATTCAATCCATAAACAGTTCTCAGACTCAGGTAAGACTATGCTGGTCAGTAAAGAAACAAAAAACTGCACTCAATTCTCAAACAACTGCCACTCGTTTTTAAACATTTCTTATGTACTTCTAAACTCATTCTCTGCTAAGTACGTTTTTCTAAGTAAGCATTGCCAGAACACCCCTTTGTGTAGCTCCACTACTTGCTGAGTTTTGTTTTGGTCTTAGTCAGATGGTCGCTTCTGTTTTTTATTAAGTTAAGAAGCAAAATATTAAGCCAATATTGTAGTTTCTGTGCAAAGGGTTAAAAAAGAACTAAAATTTAGCATAAAAATCAGGACAAAGCAAAATGTATTTTAAAAAAGTATACATGAAATATTAAAGAAAACTAGACAATGTATGCAACACTGCCAACAAAAAGAGCCACACAACCAAACTAAAATAAGAACAAAGGTCTACAGGAGCAAAAATAAGCGCTGTTACCCTGTTACAAATACAAACTTTTATTAATTTTGTTGAAATATTACATAATAAACAAACAGTATGTATGGTATAAAAGGGAAGAGAAAAGAAAATGAATCATAATTTCATATCTTTTAAATGATCAAGAAAATTGACAAGTGAATTTGAATGTATACTTTTCTATCAAATGCTTTTGGAGGTCATTAAAGTAATAGACTCCATCTTCCAGTGGTTCTTAGACTCCATAAATGCATCTGTTCTGGGATTGCGCTTTCCTAGGAAATTTGAGCAAACAGCATCATGGAGCCACAGGGAGACCGCAGTAAGGTCAGATATGGAGTTGTGGAGAAATTTAAAGCAGAGTTCGGCTATCATATCCACTGCACATCTTGCATAGCAGCATCTCTTGAAGATGGAGAGAGTATGACTTCACATTAAGACATTGATTCAGCTACACTGATATGATCAGCAAGCACAGCATATAATGGGTTGTGTTCTGGTGAACTAATGGGTCTATATTGAAGTGTGGTTAAAACAAGTTTTCTTTGAAAGAAAGCAAAAACAACAATGACAATGTATTTAAGTTCATTTCATGTAGCAAAGATGGTATACATATGGCAGAAGGTCCACCAGTCAGACTAGATCAGAACTGAATCATTCAAATTTCCTTTTAACATGCTGTGTGTGGAAGAAAATCAATATATCCCACCCCAATGAATGCAACAACCTGGTGGTGGCAGCATCATGTTGTGGGAATGCATTTTGTTGTAGGGACAGGGAAACTAGTCATAGTATATGCGTCATTGAATGGTGATAATACATAACAAAAAATCACAGAAGAAAATCTGTTAGAAGCTGCAGACAGCTTGAAACTGGGGGAAAAGTTCACATTAATAAAGGACGGTTTATAAATATACAACCAGAACTACAGTTAAGTTAAACCAGAGCATACTAAATGTAAATGTATCCATTCAAAATTCAGAACTAAACCAAACTGACAATCTGTATCAAGATTTGAAACATGATGTGCACAAACTATCTTGATGTACTATGACAAAGCTTAGGCTATTTTGCAGAAACAAAAATGTCCTCTAGATGGGATTGCAGTAATTATATGCGGTGCTTTATGCAGCACTTCTCAGATTTGTACTTGAGAAAAAGAATTTCAAAGCTAGGTTTAGTTTTTGTTATTTTCATTACATGACTTTGTGATGGTCTGTCACTTTTTGAAAAAAAACACAATACGATGTTGTTATAAAGTAACAGAACATGGAAAGCTTCAAGTTGTATAAATACTTTTACAAGGAGATGGAAACCTCAGCTGGCATTACTTTGGATCTCAGTGAAAACACCTCCTCAACAATGTTTACAGACAAATTCAGGTGATTATTTACTGACTGTCATCTGATTACAGCTACAGTAGAACAACTGATGTGATTTTAATCATAGATTTTATGGCTGTTTTACTGTAGTACTCTGATTGAAGACTGAACTCTAAACATTAAGCCCAGGCTGGAAATCCCAGAGAAAAAGGAAAATGCAGCCCAGGCATCTTGGCGAGCCATAAAAATAGTTAGCATACGTGTAGCTCCAGATAAAATCGCTCAGGTCCATTATGCTCATTAGAAGTTCATACTTTGGAATAATTCAGGAAACGCAGCTTGTTTTTTGCTTGTTTTTTTTATGTTGGGAAGTTATTTCACCTCCATGCTTTCAAACAAACTAGCTGATTATATAAAATAAATTTCAGACTGAGCGGTGCTTGAGAGATCCTGACAAGTTATACTTATTGTGCAATACCTTTTTTCCTTTAATTCCTCCTCCATTCGTTTTTCCTTTGTGAAAGAAAGTTTATAGCTTCCGACTGGAGCCAAAAACTAATTTGATTTTCCTTTTTTCTTTTTTTTTCCCCCCATCATGACTCCCATCCACCCTTCACTCTTCACTTGTAAATGTTCCGTTAGTGATTGTGTTTGCTGTAAAGGTCCGGATGGAAGCCAGGAGGAGTCATGGCTCATATGTTTGTTGTTACCGCCAACAATCTGTTTTTGTATCTGGCGGTGACACGTGGGAAAGCTTTAGGGCTGCCATATTTTCCATCTTGAATGTTATGAGACTTTATAGGGACTGGTCAGCAGCAGGGGGTGTAAGCTATGCAGTCTGGACTGAATTTATGATTATTAGGATATATCTTTTATTTTAGGTTGATATTGGCTTTTAAACTATAACTGCATCACATCATTCTGGGGGATGTTCAATAAGAGTATTTCCTTGCTGCTGTTAGCTCCAGGGTTAGAAACTATGATCTGATCTCTTGCAGGTTAATTGTAAATGAAAGATGAGGTCGTTTATGGGTGCAGCTGCATCAGAGAACAGATGAAGCCGAATTAAAGTGCTTTTCACTATAAAAGAGCTGTGTGTGACTCTATTGTGATGATGAGATCATTACTGGATAATGTGGAAACCATTAAAAATGTTCAACACATCACATAAAAAGTTGAACCATATTAGAGAAATATTTAAAGATGAATAGACTGACTTGTTCTGTATTGTTTTTTTCTGTTAGATCAAGGTTGACAGTAGATTGATCATATTAATATTAATAGCCGAACATTAAGATACTAGAGGGTTAGGGTTACCATGTTTTATCATATGGAGATCTTTAAATTGATGAAAACATGCAAGATATGAAATGTTTTCCTTCTATTTGAAAGGAGGTTTGATGTCTGAGTAGAATGAGCAACCCTAACTCAGAAAAAAATCGCTTCAATTCTTATTTCACTGTTTCCATTTCAGCTAAATAAGCCCAATAAAATTTGTAAATATGTCAAATCCACATGAATTATGACTGAAACAATTAATCGTGATTAATCAATTTCTGAAATAATCCTCAACTAATTCAGTGATCGATAAATCATTAGCTGGAGTATAGACTGTAAAATATGCCTTTATGCTTTTAGCTCTAAGGAACCTTTTACTGTCAGATTTTTAATCGATTACTTGAGGAAAAAATTATCAACAGATTAATCAATTTGTGAAATTAAACGATGTTTACAGCCCTGTTCATCCGAGAGCTAAAAACAGATGGACAGGACTGTGATGGCCAAACCCATGGCCACACCTTAAAAGTCCGTACTATACTGTATTTATTTAATCCATACACATACTTTAGTTTGCAATAAAACTTCATTCTTAGTTCAAATGCAT